TGTTTATAAATGATAATTTATCACACTTAATGACAAGTTCTAAGATGTGAGGAAGAGATATTCATTTTTTTTGTTCACCTTTTAGTGGTCATAATCTCATGCCTGATTAGTGTCTCTTTTATTTTATGTCTTGATTTAGCACTCTAAAAATCAAAACATTAAGCAATAAAACAAAGGAAAAAAAATTGTATATATAAATCTTGTCCAATTTAATTTACAAACCTTTAAATTTTTAAGGAGAATATTAGTTTTGATTATTTAAAGTAAACAAATTAACTTTCCAGACAAAAAAAAATAATTACTGTATTATATTGTTCTTTCAAGGACAATCATTGTTTAATTCATATAAATGAATCTGGAAGAAAATTAATGAATGATCTGGGCATCTATGTTGATTGATAGCACCTTTGCAGCACATTCTGCAGCAATCACAAGATGACTGAGACTTTTGGTCACGCTGAATTTGTTAAGAGATGGGGAGAGCATACCAAATTCTAGACTAGATTAAACAACAGCAGGAAGTCGCCAATCTCACAGTTTAATGGTTGTGCTTTTTTTTTCGTTAGAAGAAGCAAAATACTTAGTTATAGCCTAGATCTTTAGAAAAAAAAAAATGCAGCTTGATAATGAAGACTGTTACACCGGGAGCATTTTGGTCCAAATGTAAAAAGATATTATCTAAAACACAGAGACTGGTTTTAAGTAAAGTTGTACAATTTTTATTTATGACTCTTTTTTTTTATTTTCTTGATTGTTCAGATTATCATCCTTTTTTACTTGGTGCATTCCTCTTCTCTTACTTTCACCCTAAGAGGCTCATTGTTAAAGTCCACTGAAGCCCTGTTCACATAGAGGTACCTTTATAAGTGAGAGACCAGTTAAAAATGCAGGGGGTGTGGAGCCCAAATAAGCCAGCAATCAAGCAAATCCACAAAGTGTGCATACTGAAAACAGAAAGAGGTAAAACCAGAATGAAGACAGATATACAGACATTAATAATACTGCTAATAATTATAATGAGCATCACCCCAAGCAAAGAACACAGGTTAAAAGCAGCTTGACAGCGAGAAAGGGGGAGAGGCACCTTCCCTCTCTTTTACACTCTCCAGCAGTGGCAACAGAGAAAGCTCCTACCGTCTGTTGTAGGTCTGGGATTCCAATGCGGATGACCACAGTGTTGCCTGTTGGCTCCTCCATGGGTGCTCCTGCACTGTTGCTGTGCTCTCCACCGGGACTGAAAGCCAGAACAGCGTCAGGAACGGGTACGCCGCTCTCCTCTTCCCGGGAGCTGCTGCTGTCAGTGCTGCCCCCCTGGCTGCCGTTGGCTGCGTGTGTGTAGGGGTGCGTGTGTGAGTGTGTGTATGCGTGCTGTTGCTGCTGCTGGTCCTGCCGTGAAGAGCGGGGTGGCTCATGTTTGCCGGCTGCCGGACGCAGAGGCATGCTCCGTGTTAGGGTCTCAGTCCCAGTCTCTCTCTCTCCTTACGCACACTCTTACTCACAGGGTTACACATGCACCAGCAGGTCTTGTTCACACTACACGCACACTCTGTTTGCAGCATGCATCACTCGCCTGGGAAAGAAAAAGAGGGAGGGAGAGTAAAGCATGTAAGGAGGGAGGCAGAATGGGAATGGGCAGAAGAGTAGGGGTAACAGAGGATTACAGATGGAAGAGGGAAGAAACACAAAAGAAAATAAGTTCAAATGAATCCTACCTTTTAATGCACTAAGTAATAAACAACTATATTGTATATTAATGCAAAATAGCTTAATAACATTTCATTTGACCATTTTTCCTTCCGAAATCTGCAGGTGCATTAAAGTGGTGTTGCTATGAAACAGGTTTTGAAAGAAAAAAACTATGTGTAAGTTAATAGGCTACTCCCTGTTTATAAATGAATGCTGCTGCTGTCACTTGCTATTGCTGTAGCGGACTAACACTGTGGCGATATTAGTGCAGCACAAGTGTGTTTGAGTTGGTGGAGGGAGGTGGGGTGTGTTTGTTCAATCAATGCAGTGCAGGATTTGGCCTTCATGCTTCACATTATCTCTGGGTGGTGTCACTGATCAAAAGCTTCCCAGGAAAAAAAGAAATTCAGAACAAATTGCTTTAAATGCAAAGGGGACTTCCAAGGGGCTTTTTTATTCTCATGGGTACCAGGAGGGCGGTTTTATTTACTCTTTCATTATGCAGCCCTGAGACAGAAATAAAAAAAAAACTTTTCAGACACACGACTTTACATTAATAGGAGGTAATTAGACAGAATCCCTGAACAACCTATTTATTTGCAAAACTAAAAACTTTGCTAAGACACACCAGGTAAGAATTCTGTTATTATTTGCCACAGTGTACATTAATAATTTCCAAAGGATTTTATCTCTAAATACCATTTGGTTTCTAAGGAGTTTAACTTACTAGCATTTCTGAATATAAATATACAGGCTACCTTCAAACCAAAGCACAATTACAGAATGAGATTGTGATCAAAGCTTAGCTATTCTAAGTCGATGTATGAAGCAGTAGTATGGAGCCTAGAATGTTAAATTCCTTTAAATTGGGACAAAACTGGATAAAAAATAAAATGTGCCATGTTATTAGCAAAAACATTTATAACCATTAGGAACACAACAAAGATATCCACCATCCATCCATCCATCCACATTGGTTTATCCAGTCATTAACTTCACTGGTCTATATAAGGACGGTTGGAAAAAGCCAGGATGGTCTGGTACTGGCTACTAGTAAAAGATTTAGGAGCGGTATGCAGACCTGCTGCTTGCTATAGTATTTTATTTCTTCCAGCTACTGAAAGCTAATGCATTTTTTTTTTTCTAAAGGAAACCTTCAATTATATTTAGAATAAATATTAAATTACTTTACTAGAGATTTTTGGATAAACACCAAGGGGAAATGGCATACAAACCTCCTTTGACTGTTTCTCTCTTATACATATATCTGTCTCTGTTTGTTCAAATAGAATAGAAATGTTTCCTTTCCTTTCCTCTTTAATAAAAGAGGTTTCTCTTTTTCTTTACATATATTTTTCTAATTAGTTCAGCATTTGGTGCCATGCAGAGGTGAAAATTGGGCAAACCCCCCCAAAAAGACTTAGGTGACAATACAGTAACTTAAAATTTAATTTTACACAAAGACAATTTAGCTACCAGTGCAAATGTTACACAAATAAAAGTTAAAATGACATAAGCAAAATTTAACTTAAAGTAAAATTTTCTAAGTACAGTATACTTACTTTTGTAAGCTGAAATTAAAATCGGTCAATTTCATAAAGGAAAAGGGGAGATGTTGGCCCTTAACTGTTAAGTGTAGTAATAAATCAGGCACAAGCTCATTATATTTCAAATCTCGATTTTCAGCCAAAATCTTACTGTACCTCAATAAATTTCATTATCTTACTGGAAGTATCTAATAAACCATAGCATAGTATTAAAGAAATGCTATCAATTTAATACTGATATCAAAAATCTTAAAAGCACAGAAATACAAATATTATAAATCTACTACACGATATTTTGTAAATCTGTCATCTTTCATTGCATTTGAAATAAAATATTAGAAAGTAATCACAACACACAACCTTTGAAAAAATTGGGGGAGCAAGCAAAGTCCATTAAGCTTTTGAGGCTTGCATGTGAGCGCTCAGGCATTGCTGGGCACTTTACCTAATCTCATTAACTCTAAAGTAAGAGCATGACAGGTAACCATAATACATAAGAGGATTAGGCGGGTAACTATTTATATGTGACTTTTACTAGCCATACCTTCAGCACCTAGAATAAAACATCAATATTTTGCTGTTTTGTATTTAATTGTCATATTTCAGGCAATCTAGTTGGTAAAACAAGGAATGAATTGTCTCTTTTTTTCTTTATATATATATATTGCCTAAAAGTACACCTGGATGTCAGTAACATCAAAAGCAAAAAAATCTAACCATGGAAACCATAAAGTAAGCCATATGTATACATATGGAATTACACAGGTAAATAGATTTGAGCTGAACTGTCAATGTTTAAAAATCCACCCTGACACTTTGGCCAAATTAGTATCAGTCGGTAGTGTTCAAACTGATGGTCCAGAGAAAAGGGCCTTGATATCTAGGCATCACAGAACAAACCTCCCACAACGACCAAACCCAATAAGCTCTCTGAGGTAATCATCAGTAAGTTTAGTGACATATTTTTTTCAAAACAAAATAATAATGCAGAGAAAGAGGAAGTACAAAAGGTTCAAGTGAATAGTATTCTGGCCATAATCTGGACGGAACATAATTACACCATAAACCTGCCACAAAGAGGTGCTGCAATATTTAGGACAGAGAACGGAACATAATTATCCAAAAAAACCACTTACAGAAAGCTTTCAAAAGAAATAAGGTTAGCAGGTATTTCCCAAATGAACTAATAATCCCCTCAGCTCTCATTGTCTGAATGCACTCTCAGCACAGTATATTGTACAGCTGCAGGAAGAAGCAGGATGAAGGCTGCTCACACTTTGCTGAAGAACATTAAAGTAAGCTTGTGAAATAGTTGGAGAATGCAATCCCATCAGATTAGGTCAAAATTTTGCTCGTTGGATGTCATAAACAGACTTTTTTTAGGACAAAAGTTAAAGCAAAACAGCTGCAAATAGTGAAGGTTGAAAGTAGAAACATGATTGTGTAGGGTAGTATTTTTCATTTCTAGTTCTTACAGTACTCTGCACTGCATGTTTTAGATTTTTCTCTGCTTTATCCCACCTGATTCACATTTATTGCAGGTTATCAAAAGCCTTTTCATCAACCATCAAGTGAAATAAACATGTAGACTATGCAGGGTAGTGTGTCTTGAAAAACTTTGGTGTAAGGCTTTTTAACATTCAGGGAACAAAAATCTTTGCCCATTGATTCTCGTTAAAAGTTGTACATGCGCAGTAGCTCCTCTGCAATACAAAGGTAAAGGAGAGCTCCACCCTGAGGTGACAGGAAGTGTATTTGCTCATCCCCTTCCGCCACACTGCAGAAGTTTTGTGCAATGCCGTAACAACACAACAATAGGCCCATAATTAACATTATCTGGGTGGGCAACACGTGACAAAGGTTCAGGATAGGGTGACAGTTCCATAAGTCGGCCAAGAAGAAAAAAATTATGCAATTCTCAGTAGTATATGATCACACATCACACCTGGAAAAATAGTGACTGTGCACCTTGAATGGAACCATTGGTGACAGCGCACCACCACATGTGACAGACATCCCATGTTCCAAAAAATCATTTCAGGGCGATGCTTATCTACGCTTATCTACACTCTGGGTTACCCATAATTCCAAGTTGTAGTGTAAAAGTTAAAATACTAATAATCTTCATTGCAGTTTGAAACATATTATATGAGTGTATTTTTTAACAACCGTCTAATGAACTATACACAGTTATTAACATAGAAAATAAAAGTACCACTGTCTGCTTTGCTATTGGTGTCATGTTTAAATGGCTCACCGTCATGTTGAAATCTGGTATGTGTTGCGGTATAAATACAGTCCGGTGCGGAGAGTCACTTCAGTATCAGTGGGGTTTAAAAGGATTTTTTTCGCACCACTAAATCTGCAAAGAGATGTCCTAGTCTGCGATAGGGGTAGACTGCGTAGGGGGCCAACCAGGTGTCAGTGATGGGGCCCCTAAGAGGTCGTGGGCCCATAAGCAACTGCTGCTTTTGCTTACCGATATTTATGCCATTGGTTTTGCAGGTGATTTTGCGGGTGAAGTCACGGGAGTTGAAGATGCATTGGAGAGAGAGAGAGAAAGAGAGAGAGAGACGGCACAAGAAATCTCCTTTTGCAAGACCTGGTTTAGCAAGAAGGCTTGGCTAACTGCATGTAGCAAGGCTAACACTTTATTCTGCTGCTTTTACAGCCCTCCTCCTTTTTCAATCGACAGGATCTGATCCAGCATGGATAAAGACAAGTAGAACTGATTTAAAGAACTTTTTAGAAAAGACAAAGAACAATAAACAATCTGGGATTCACATGGAAAATAATATAGTCTACTTTTTTTAGGTGTTTGTTAATTTGCATAGTTGCTTAAATAAACACATTCTCAGAAAATAAATATTATTTTAAATATAAAAAAAATACAAAGCTGACTGACAGCTTCTCCATTATTGAACTGGTACATTGTTTTTTAGGTTTGTGACATATTATTGGACCATGCAAAACATAGATTTGCCTTTAGAAAGCCTCAGAAGGATAAGATTTATGTATAAAAGTAAACCTGTATATGAAATTATATAAGTGTTTTTCCAATGTTTTTTGTTGTTGGCATTCACATAAATATACTGTTGCGATAACTTGATATACATTTGATTGGTTTTTGGTATATTTATTTGGTATATTTTGAATGTATAGCCTGTTACCATCAACTTTTTCATGTGCATTCTGAAATGTTGCATTAGTAGAACCTGATCAAAACAACATTTTACAGAAATGTTTTAATGCTTGTTTGAGGTGGTCTTTTACTTTTTTTTAAAAAGAGAAAATGTGCAAAAAGGTAGATTGAAACAGTTTTCCAAAAAGCTCATGT